GAGGAGGCGGAGGAGAAGGAGGAGGAGGAGAGGGAGGAGGAAGGAGGGAGGAGGAGGAGAAGAGGAAGGAGGAGGAGGAGGAGGAGGAAGGAGGAGGAGGAGGAGGAGGAGGAGGGGAGGAGGAGGAGGAGGAGGAGCGGACCACTTCAGACAGTGTCACCGTCTGGGCCCCTGAGCCACACGCGCTCAGGGGGCCCACCTCACGAAGCGGGAGGGGCCTTGTGCCAAGCAGGGCTGGTGGGATGACCCCGTCCTCCTCCTCTCCTCCTCCTCATCCTCCTCCTCCTCCTCCTCATCCTCCTCCTCCTACTCTCCCCTCCCCCCTCCTCCTCCTCCTCCCCCTCCTCCTCCTCCTCTTCTCCTCCTCCTCCTCCTCCTTCTCCTCCTCCCCCTCCTCCTCCTCCTCCTCCTCCTGGCGCGGACAAGTGGGTCCTGGGCTGGAGAAAAAGAGACGGGGGCCTTCTGCGCCACCGTACAAAGGGATGCGCCGGGTTGCACCCTGGATTGCCATGCACGCCGCGTTGCCCTGCGAACAGAGGCGCCGCCTTGGGACACCCCCCGCAGCGGCCCAGAAGGGGGACGACAGCGGAGCAGGTGCCAACTGTTCTCGCGGCCCACATGGAAAAAGGCTAGCACTGGTGTGCCGCCTGTTGGGAGTCAAAGAGGGTCTGGAGACCACCTTGGACGGTGGTCTCACTGGTCGCATCCGGGCGGAAAGCCGGTCGTGCAAGAACCCAGGTCTCTTGTGCACGATGGAACGTGTCGGTCCGCGGTGCTGACTGCTCGTTCCTGTATCTGCTGGAGGGAAGTCACCAGCTGGTCGGCGCGTTGGTGAAGTGCTTGAATGCTGGCGGTGCGAGCTGTCTCGCGGTCCTGTGGCCGTTGGCGACTGGTCGCAATGCAGTGCTGCGTGAGGGCGGTCCTCCTGACGCTGCGGTGCTCGCGGGCATTCGGTGTACGGCACCCTGGCGGGTGGTATGAGGGCCCTCGGCCCCCGTCTCCTGGCAGGGCGGGGGTCGGCACCCGGAGGCAGGAAGCGCTGCGCTGGGTGGGTGGGTGTGCAGTACAGTCGGGGCCCTGAGGAAGGAACCCTTGTCGTTGGGGAGGGGCTCGGTGTTCCGTAGTTACTCTGCAGTTTGCCTTCGGTTTTGCTTAGGGCTTCGATGGGACGTCGAAGGTTCACTTATGGCCTCGTTCCTTATCTAGGGTTCCTTAGGTCAGCGCCCCGACTGCAGCTCTCGCCAGCCCAGCGGGTTGGGGCGGCGGCGGTGGCCCCTGGGGCGCAGTCCGCGGCCCCCTCGTCTGCCGTGCGCAGGTCCTTGCCCCGGTGGGGCGGGGCGGCGCCACTCTCGTCGGTGTGTCCTTCGGCCGAGTGGCGCTTCTGCTGTGGTGGGTGGGCGCAGTCGCCTTCGCTTGTGAGGGAGGCCTCACGGCGAGCAGCAGCGAGCTCGCCTGCGTCCTGGAGCCAGGGGTCGTCGAGGCCATCGAAGGAATCGGGGCCTGGTGGTTCCGCCGCGGGACGTGGTCCCCCTTGTGCGCCAGTGCTTTGTCCACGTAGGCTGTTGGTGAGGGTATGTTTTCCATTTTGGAGAGTTCCGTCTGTGATTTTTCTACACGCCTGCGGGAAAGAGGGACCGCGCGTTGCCTTTGATCGTAGACGGCTAAGGCCGTAGTAAAGTAAGACCGCGGCGAACTTGTGGTGCCGTCTGGCCGCGGTGGCGACATATTATTGGATGATGTATAGCGTGCCCCCCGCGGTGTCGACTTGGTCGGCATGTCGGTTGAAAGCTTCCGCGATGGCTATCGTTAACACCTTGCTCTCCGAGGTGGCTTTTGGCTTTCGGGATGTTTTGTTTGGAGTACCCGATGTGTGTTCTGTCACGGGGCAGGTTGCGGCCCGACGCACTGAGGCAGTTTGCCCAAGGGGAGGTCTTCGAACCTGTCTGTCACACCTTTGTTGTCACGAAGGCGTGCACGGGCCGTTCGGCAGTGGCCACGAGGTCCAGCATGGCGAGACTTTCGGCTCGTTGCGCGGATTGTGCGAGTCCGTGCGCTCGTGCTGCGTGGCGGAGCCGACGGTCCGTCCTGTAGTGCACCCCGAAGCCCGCCCTGGCCAGAAGGGGGCGGTCTTGGTAGGAGCATGCAGACCCATCGGGCGCCGTATTCAGCTGCGTGTCCTTGGTGAACGAACGTTGTCGCCCGCGTTCCCCAGGGGCTGTCGGGACTTAGGCTGTAGGAGCTCGTCCTCCGCCAGGGTGGCCTGACGTTCAAGCAGGGGGTGATCGTCTTCCGGGAGGCCACAGTGCCTGGTGCGAGGTGGGAGCTCCTGCCATTGATGCTCGGAGGTCAGGTTCTTGAGGGCCGTCCTGTGGTTAGCCCAGCGGCGGCACCTCCAGACGGTGTGCTACGGGGCTTTTTCATCTTGATCGCACCACCTGCGCAGGACGGAGGGGTCAGCCGGAATACCGTCTTTGACTGTCCCCTGTGGAGCATGGCCTTCTCCGCAGAGAGATCGTCGCGGAGGAGTCCGAGTCGCGGATCCCTGACGTCACGATTTTTTTTCATGAAATCGACCCCCAGAGGTCTCGACCCATTCCCTGGGGCCGGTTTGTCATCCTGAACCGTTCTTTGACGGTCCCGCGGCCCGGTAAGGGCCGCGAGAGGCTGAAAATCATGAAAAACCTCCCGTCGTGATTTTTGTCATGACTCGAGGGGGTCTGGGGTTGCCCTTCCGCGCGTCAGGTTTCGTCTGTGGTCCTGGGGAGAAGGCGGCCAGATCGTGCCCGGTCCTGGGGGGTGCGCCCGGGATCAAGAGTCTCCGCTGCGAGGCGCGGAGCGCGTGAGTGAAACGGCCAGCCCAGCTGGGATTTGCCGCCGGGATAGGCGTATGCCCCAATCGTTTCGCGCGGTGGCGAATTCTGGCACCCGTGCGAGCCCACGACCAGGCCACGCAGAGTCCTGTGCTCCTGGACCTCCCCCGAGCTCCACCCGACCCAGCCTCCGCCCCGTCCTCAGCATCAGGAACAGCGCAGTGCAGCCTCTCATCGAGGGGCCTCCAACACATGTCTCCCATCCGGCTCCTGCCATGTCCTACCGCCGCCAAGCCTCGGAGGCCCGAGAGGCGCCTGGCCGCGAAACGAGAGCGCCTGGCCGCAAAGGCTGGCGAAACCGTCTGGCGGTCCCAGACTTCATCCGTGGCTCCCTGCAGGGTCCAGGGGTCGGGACATCGAGAACCGACCATCCGTACAGTCGGGGCCCTGAAGAAGGAACCCCTTTGGTTGGGGAGGGGCTCCGCGCTCCTGGAGTGTCTCACGGCCTGCCTCGGGCTTTCCTGAGGCTCTCGATCGGACATCGAAGGTTCACTTATGGAAAAAAGGGGCCTCGTTCCTTATTTAGGGGACCAAATGCGAACCCTACCCCTGCCCCCCACAATTTCTGAGGGGGAGGGTGGGGTTCACTTCGCTCGGGAGCTCCCAGACGAAGTGAACCCCACCCTCCCCCTCAGAAATCGTGGGGGGCAGGGGTAGGGTTCGCATTTGGCCCCCTATTATTTAGGGTTCCTTAGGTCAGCGCCCCGACGGTAGAGCGAGCAGGAGGGCCGCAGCCGGGTCCCTGAGCCCGAGCCCCGCGGGCGGACTCTGGCCGCCGCGTCGCGCCCGTGGGCAACACAAGAGAAGCCTCAGCACCGTGGAAGAACGACGGCCGTCACGCAAGATTTGGACCTCCTCCTCCTCCTCCTCCTCCTCCTCCTCCTCCTCCTCCTCGGACATACATACGTTTTGATGGCAGCCGCTGTGACCAGGACGAGCGGGTCCCTGGCCCATCCACCCCTGCAGCACATCGACGCCGGCTCTGGCGAGCACCCTCTCCGCAGGCGCCCCTTCGGCTCTCCGGGGCGCACCTCTGAATCGCTCGAGTTTGCCTTCGGGGAGCTCCTGGAAGCTGGCCCCCCCCGGAGGGCCTTGGCCGAAGCGCCCGCACGAAAAAACAAAGCCCGTAGGGGCTCCAGCATTGCGAAGGGCAGCAATGCT